GTTCTTGAGGAGTAAGAGGAGAAGGTATTTTTCACATGCTTAATGCATTTGAAATTATGCATTTTGAGACAGAGATAGGCAATTCAGATACTTTTTTTTTCTTTATTACAACACTTTACCAATCTAAGCCAGGGGCAAGGGTAACAACGTATTTTCAATCTCTAGTTATATTTTGTTGGTTTGAGTTTGGCTATATATATTTTAGGCAAGCAACTTAGATTAGGTAATGAGGAACAGGCACCACTAAATTCACAAGAATTGAAATATTTGATATTTATTTCTTGTTTGCCTACCCTTTTTGCAATTTACCTATTCAATTCTCTATACACGCACACACTAACCACTCTTCAGTTACACTCCCACATGGTTACTGGACACATGTTAATAATATTCAGTTCTTGAAAATTTCCGTAATATGAAAATTCTATCATGGCTGCTGGGGGAATAAAAAGTCACATGCAACTGATATCGTGAGTGTAAAATTATTAGCGTTAGTTTCCATATTCTGGGATTTTTTTTGAAATTTGAAGTATCAAGATCCATGCAAAGTTATATGTAAAACAGATAAAATGAAAACAGGACTTGAGAACTTTTTTTTTTTGACTGAGTTGAGGTTATTTTCGGAGCGTTTTTAACATGTACAGGTAGTCCTTGACTTACAACAGTTCATTTAGTGACCATTCAAAGTTATGATGACATTGAAAAAAGTGACTTACGACTGTTTTTCACACTTAGAACAATTGCAGCATCTCCATAGTCAGTGATGATAATTCAGATGCTTGACAACTGACTCATGTTTATGACAAGTTGCAGTGATCCTCTTTTGTGACCTTTTGACAAGCAAAGTCAATGGGGAAGCCAGATTCACTTAACTGTGTTACTAACTTAACTGCAGTGATTCACTTAACAAATGTGGCAAGCAAGGTTGTAAGATAGGGCAAAATTCACTGAACCGATGTCTCACTTAGCAACAAAAATTTTGGGCTCAATTGTGGTCATAAGTCGAGGACTACCTGTATTCCTTTTGGGGGCATCCTCTTTTGTCTTTTTTTTGCGTATGATAGTGCAGATTTCACACCTTCTCCCTTGAGGATATAAAAACCAGAATTTTGACTCCTTCCTTTGCGCCGTGCAGCCAAAGAAATTAGAGACCGTGTCCACTGTGGGTTTCCTGATTGGTTCCTGCCTCCTCTGATGTCATTAAGGTGTTTGCCTAGGTGAAAGTTCCATGGCAGTTGGGAAGAAAAGGGTGTTTGGTAGGAGAGGGCCTTGGCAGGAGACTGAGAACAGGGTTGGTTGGCAGGGCTGTCTGTTAAATTTAAGTTGCAGGGGGCGGGTTGGATTTTTCAGAGCTGTTGAGTTGGTTGTAGTGGAAAATAGCTATTTGGATTAGACGGTCTGATGATACCTGAGGAGCATCTTCTCAACTGTGGCCATTGACAGCCCGTTCTCCTCTTCCAATTCCATGGAAGAATTGATCCTTTTGTGAGCTAACATAACTGGCGGCCCCCTTCGATCAAACATCATTGATTCCCTTCCTCCAGTGTGGCCTATACTGACATTCTGCAGTTTAGCATTTTTTTTTTTAGAGAATTAGGACTACACCTTTTTCAGAATTCTGAGGCCAGGCTGTCTAAATAACTGGGAATTGGTTGAAGAAGGTTCAGCACTAAAAGTCTTTTGCAGTATTAAATTAGAAAGGTTGCAATTTGGATCCAAGAACCAGTATACAGGTAGTCCTCAACTTACGACCACAATTGAACCCAAAGTTTATGTTGTTAAGTGAGAAATTTGTTAAGTGAATCTGGTTTCCCCATTGACTTTGCTTGTCAGACGGTTGCAAAAGGTGATTACATGACCCCCGGGACACTGCAACCATCATAAATGTGAGTCAGTTGTAAAGTATCCAAATGTAAATCAGTGACCATGGGGATACTGCAACAGTCATAAGTGTGAAAAATGGTCATAGGTCACTTTTTTCAGTGCCGTTGTAACTTTAAACAGCCACTGAGTGAACTGTTTGTAAGTTGAGGACTACCTGGAGTGAGGTGTTTATGGCACTGACCTAGGACTGGGAGAAATGGATTTGGCTCAAGTTCACTGAAACATAGGTTCTCAACTATAATAATAATAATGATAAAGTTGGAAGGGACCTTGGAGGTCATCTAGTCCAACCCCCTGCTCAGGCAGGAAACCCTATACCATTTTGGACAAATGGCTGTCCAGTTTCTTCTTAAAAACTTCCAGTGTTGGTGCATTCACCGCTTCTGGAGGCAGGTTGTTCCACTGGTTAATTGTTCTGTCAGGAAGTTTCTCCTTAGTTCTAGGTTGCTTCTCTCTTTTAGCTTCCACTCCTTGTCCTGCCTTCAGGCGCTTTGGAAAATAGCTTGACTCCCTCTTCTTTGTGGCAGCCCCTGAGATACTGGAAGAATGCTATCATGTCCCCCCTCGTCCTTCTCTTTGTTAAACTAGACATACCCAATTCCAGCAACCGTTCCTTATATGCTTTAGCCCAGTGGTGGCGAACCTATGGCATGGGTGCCAGAGGCGGCACTCAGAGCCCTCTCTGTAGGCACGCGTGCCGTCACCCCAGTCCTAGGCCTTCAGCTGGGTTTTATAAAACCTTTTTGCTTTAGGCCTCCACTGCCGTGTGCAAAAAAAAAAAAAGGTTCAATCAGTCAATTTCAACTTCTCGCAGGAAAAAAAAAGATCTTGCAAAGTTGGAATTGATTGATTGAACTTTTTAGTCCCACCCAGTCTGCCATTACCACTGCAGCCACGCCCACCCAATTGGCCATGCCCACTCAATTAGCCACACCCAGCCAATGAGCCACACCCACCCGGCACTCGACGATGCATAAGTGGGTTTTGGGTTGCAGTTTGGGCACTCAGTCTCTAAAAGGTTCACCATCACTGCTTTAGCCTCCAGTTCCCTAATCATCTTTGTTGCTCTTCTCTGTACTCTTTCTAGAGTCTCAACATCTTTTTTACATCGTGGTGACCAGACTGGATGCAGTATTCCAAGTGTGGCCTTACCAAGGCATTGTAAAGTTGTATTAATACTTCACGTGATCTTGATTCTATCCCTCTGTTAATGCAGCCCAGCACTGATACCTTTGGGGTAGTCACGGATTTACAATCTTATCGTACATTATAGGATTGTTGTTGCAAAGATAAAAATGGAAGAAGGAGTAATGAGTCTAGCAGTTTCTGTATCTGACTATATCTGGGAGGAGTCCTCCGCAGTTTTCTTGCTGTTCTTCCACCTCTCAGTGAAAATGCCATGCATATTATGACTGCATTAATCTAAGCAAGTTTGAACGAGCTTGGGGGCTCTTAGGAAAAGCATGCATCGTCTTGTTGGCAGGTTCTGTCCATGGAAATCTTCATTTCTGCTCATTTTTCCCCTCTGTAAAAAGAGCACTGTGTTCTGTGGCATTGGAGCAGATAATGCCAGAATTTTTCCTTTTCCTAGAGCAGTGTTTCTCAACCTTGACAATTTTAAGGCATGTGGACTTCAACTCCCAGAATTCCACAGCCAGCATTGCTGGCTGTGGAATTCTGGGAGTTGAAGTCCACATGCCTTAAAATTGTCAAGGTTGAGAAACACTGTCCTAGAGAGATGATGATCTTTCCTGTGGTATTCAGAGATGTAGTGGGAAGTCTTGATGGATGTTAGAAAATACGGTAATAAGCTTTGGTTGCCAGAGGCAAAGAATCATTATGTCTAGGTGACCCAAATATACACTAGAGAAAGTTGTTGTTGCCTCTTTTTTCCATCTTTTAGGGCATCAGAGTATGAATAAGTAATGTGGTTATGCATCGCAAATAGCCTAGTGAGAATTCTTAGTATTTTAACCCTGTCTACCTTTTGGAAGAACCTGGCTGTTCCCTCAGGCTTTGGGGCCAGGATAGTCATGGAGTCTGGTTGAGTTCTTTTGCTTTGTTTTTGCTTTGTTTTATAATTGTTTCAGTCCACACAAAACAAAAACACCAACCAGACTCCATGATTATCCTGGCCCCAAAACAGTACATAATTTATTGTTTGTTTTCCACTGTTTTTATATCAACATTTCCATTTTTTATTTGTGTTAGCCACCAGGCCTTATTTAAGATAGGCACCCATGCAAATTTACAGAGTAAATAAATTTATTTGTGCTGATGCCTCCTGAGAGAGATCAGTAGAAATACAATTAAAAGTGTTGTTTGTGACTATGTGAACATGTTCTTTGTCTTGAGATAAATTTTGTAAGAGGTGGAGGGTTGGTTATAAGCCACAATCATTAACTATGGACATTGTTGAAAAACTGCACCACTATTCCCTCTTGATCAAAGGCTTTGCTGGCAAAAGCTGAAAAACTCTTCTACCTTCCTGTTTGTTAATAAATGTTGTTCCCCTTTTTATAATTGCTTCCGCTTTTGTTTATGTGTGCATTTTATGTACATACATGTGTCCATGGGTATGTGATGTTTATAGTATTAATAAAGTTGGCTTTAGTTATAGTATTTCTTATTTCCACTTTCCACATGATTCAGATTAAAGCTTCTGATCCTAATGGGTTCTTCTTGTTCTGTCTTCTATATCTACCATTTTTTAAAATCCATTTTCTATCTGTCTTTGGAGGAGCTACTTAAATAAAACACACCTTGTGAAATCAACAGCTGGATTTTGTATAGTTCCTATATTTGAATAAATTAGCCTTTGTTAAGAAGTCAAGTTTCTAGCTCTTGCTGTCCTAATGTTTACTCTGTATGTTTGTGTTTGCTTTTTTAAAGGACAGGTTTTTTACTGATGCCTAGATGAAGAAGAGGTGGACAACTCACAGTTTGCAGATTGCCTCTAAGCCCTCCTTGGATGGAAAGAAATGTGGTAAAAGAACAGGGTTAAGCTTCAGTTCAAGTTGGCGCAAAGCAACGTGGTTGTGTAGAACGTGGGACCTTGAACTTCAGGATCACGGCTGATTTTTAAAGCATCATGATATTTGAATAGCCTTTTAAAAAATATCTGTGCAAATTTCTTTCTATACAAATTGACTTGCTGTCCTCCTACTGCTGTGGAAAGAGCCACCTTTTGGAAGTGGTTAATGGTGCCACAGGCTTCTCCCTAACTCATAAGACAGTGCAGTCTTGTAACCCTTTTAAAGTGGTTGCCCTCCCCAGAACATCTGGGGCAGAGGGCATCTCCCAGCATTCCTCACGGCGCTGACCCCGACTGATCGCTATTCTACAGCCCCTCCACCTCCTGTGCAAAGCATAGGCTCCTCCCCTTTGGAGCCTTGCTCCACCCTTCTGACTTCCTCTGCCAGGACACTGCCCCCTGCAGGCAGAGCCATGAAGCTGCAGGCCGTCATGGAGAACCTGCAGCGCCAGCAACGTGCCCGGCTGCAACAGGAGATGGAGGCGCGGCAGCAACAGGATCAGCCACAGGCCAATCCTCTACCCCTCCCTGCACCAAATCAGACCACCATGTTGTCTGCCTCTGGTGTCACAGCGTTGCCCCGTGGCCGCAGCCAGGACCCTCCTCTCTCTGAGGAGGGGGGAGAACCTGACAGCGCCCGGATCCAGAGGGCACAGATGGCAGCCCTGGCGGCTATGCGGGCAGCTGCGGCTGGCCTCAGACAGTCATCCAGCCCAGTTGGGTCAGAGGAGAGCCATTCTTCAGAGGAAGAAGAAGAGCTTGTAGGAGAAGAGGAGGAGGAAGAAGAAGAGGAGGAGGAAGATGGTGAATACCCCCGAGAAATGGGCTCAGAAGAAGAGGAGATGTAAGTCATGTCTGAGGCCCACCCAGCACTTCTTGCTGTTATGTTAGTGTCCTCATAAGGGGTTCAAATGTTTAGGTCATGAAGGCTCATCTTTGAATGTCCAAGTGACCCACATGACTTGTGCCACAAATGAAGGGGCGTCCGTGTGTGTGTGTGTATGTATATACGGGGGGGTCATTGTCAAAAAACAAGATGGCATCCATGTGATCAAAACCCTTCCCCTTTGTTATGGGCATTACTCATATGACACAGACTTTATTAAAAGGGGTAGAGTTTCAATTTATATAACAAGCAATGATCATCTTGCTTTTTTGACACACCCCCTCCCTTAGAAGTCACTACCCTGGAGACCTTTCAGGTGTCTGTTTTCTCAACCAAATTGTAATTTTTAATGTGACCAACATATGATTGGACAGGAATTATATGAAATATTTTTAAAGCTAGAGAAATGTTCAGTGAAATAAAATCAAATGTAATTTTTGTCCTGGCCCCTCAGTGGTTAGATGTCAAGGATTAGACTTTAGCCTACCTTTCCTAAACTTTGCAGGGACATTGGAATGAAAGGTTGGGGCATAGCTGTATGTGCTACCTTGTAATTCTTGTGCTAAACATGTAATTCACAAACTTTCTGGGCTTGAACAGGAAGCCATGGGCTTGCTTTCCCTTTGATGGTATCCCTTTTGCCTTGGATGAGGGAGTAGCCATTTTATAAACTTGAGCCTCTCTCGTTTTTAATGATTTTTTCCAAGGTAAAAAGGTATCATTTACCCATCCCAGGGTGGGATAAATAAATAAGTTGAATTGTTTTGTGGCTCAAAAATCACACCGAATATTGCAAAATGTTTGGAAAGAAAAATTATCTCATTTGACTGCTTTTGCTCTTGATTTGGTAATTTGGTGTGTTTCTCCAGCAGGCTCCTGTGCCCCTCCCTGGTGTTGTTGGGGTCAGGAAACAATAAAACCAGCAGCTCTTAAGGCAAAACCAGTCTGGCTAGTTTTTAATGCCTTAGGCTTTTGATTAAGTTCCTGATCCTTGTTTGAAAATTTCCAACCTATTTAAAAAAAAAAAAAAAAAAAAGTACAAAGAGAGGGGGGGGGAGAGAATGCCATTTTTCCAGAATCTTTTGAGGGAAGTAAAGTGTGTCTAAATATGCCTTTGTTTACTCAGCAGTCAGATACTCCTGCACTAGCAACCTTCAGATCTGTTGGAGTTTGATTCCCATAACCAGCTGGCTGACTTCTAGGGATGGCTTCTGTAATGCGGGGGAGGGGGAGGAGGACCTCAAAGCAGGCTTCATGAAGGGCTGTACCCCAACAACCAGTAGAAACAGAACCCCAGTTTTTTTTTATTTTTTTCAGTGTTCTTAAGAAATGAAGTGATGTCTAAAATCTCAGCTGGGCCACAATACCTATTTTTTTTTCTTTAAGCCCCCCCTCCCCACCCATCCCTAGAAATAGTAAAACAGAGCAAGGCTTGGGGCCTCCAGTTAACAATTCAAGTCATAAAAAGGAGTGCTGGGAGGGGGGCTGCAGTTTTGTTGTCCATCTCTCTTAGCTACTTAAACAAAAACAAAGGCCCATACTCTTTCCCCCACCCCACCCCCAAATTTATGTTGTAATTCAGGCATCTGTTAGAAATTGACTGTAGGCCAGAATAAACAAGTTTTTGGGACTGAGAGCATATCTGGAATATTGGCAAGCCTGTGATGGCTGCAATCACATTACATTATGTTATGGGAAATCTGCCTACTCCTGGAATGGCTGCTGTGGTGGGTACAGTCCGTCCCAAAATAATTATTGGAATGCTATCTGTCAGTTTTAAGAGACTTCCTGGGGCCCAAAGATACTGCTGCAAATAAGTATGGTGCAAGGCGATGGTACTTTGCAAGGTGCAAACTTGCTATTTATTTTAATCTAAACATGCCTGTTATTAAAGCTTGATGGGCATCAGGGAGGTATCTGGTGGCGTATTAGAACCCAAAGTCACCATTTTGATTTACCCTGCTTTAGGTATTTACATTTTCTTCCTTATAATTCTCTCCCTCTTTTAGGAAGGGCAAGTGGGTTGAAGATTTTGAAGAAGACCTGGGTGAGGAGGAGGAGGAGGAGGAGGAAGAAGAATATGAGGAAGAAGAAGAAATGGTGGAGGGAGGGCTTGGCTCCAGTGCAATGGCTACATCAAGCCCTGGCACCCCATTTCTGCACAAACAACAGACCCCCCAGCAATACCGAGGAGAACCTTCCAGACTGGTAGGGGGGCAAGAACGGGGCCATTCTGGGGTTCCCCAGCAAAGCCTGTCACAGCTGCAGCCCCAAGTCCTGGACCATGGAGATTGGACTTATGAAGAGCAATTCAAGCAGGTAAAGAGGTGTAAAAAATATCTTTTCTTCCTATCTTTAAATGATAGAAATCTTATTCGGTGATTCTGCTGGTCAAGTTTTTGATTGTTTTTCCAGCCAGTGAGGACTAGAATCTTGTTTCCATTTGTGGAGGAAGGGGAAGACAATATGTAGGAATTTATGAGTGAGATAATGCATTAACCCGTGGCTTTTTAAATTTGGTGGAAAGGGTTGAGATGGGACTGAGCAGAAGCCACAAATCAATTTGGCAACTTTGCAGTGTGGAATATCCTTTTTCCCAGTTTGTTTAATGATATATGTGCTGAAAAGCTTGGTTTACTAAGTGAGGGGCATGTACATCTTCTTTTGGGGAAAGTCAGCTGTATAAAATATTTTCAGGTGGTATAATTTGGGAAGAATATAATTTATGGACAAAAGAAGGTATTGGAGACATAGTAGTGATAGAGTCTCATAAAATTATGGGTAGGATGGAAAATATTTTTATTTATTAAACTTGTATACAGGCCATCTCGCCAAAGGCAACTGTAGGCAGATTTCAGACATTGATTAAAAACACACCATAAAACAACAAAACAATAAATAAAGATCTTAAATTTAAAGTGAAATTAAAATAAAGCTAAGGGTGGAGAGGGAAGGAGAAAAGTCCACACAGGAAGGTAGGTGAAGCGATCTACTCCCATTAGCCCCCTCCAAAGTGCCACACTCCCATTGGTGCCCAAAAGTAGTTGGCACAGCCATGTCTTCAAGGCCTTTCAAAAAAGGGTGGAGCAGATCTGACCTAGGGGTGCGGAGATGTTCCAGGGGCCAGGAGCCAGAGCAGAAAAGGCAGAAAACATTGTTAGTGTTTTGGGGCCCAACAATTAATTCATTTGCTCATTTAGAAGACTGGTAAATTGTAAATTGTCATTCAGGCAGGGCATGATTGAACCGTAATGGCAGAATATCTAAAATAATATGGAAGCAGTTATAAGTAGGACAGAATAAACTCACAGAACTGCCTCCAGGTATTTACCCTATTTGGGTAAATTAATGGAGGAGAAGTTTCTCCAGATGGATGGGATGTGTAATGTAAGTCTGTTGAATAATGTGCAGTAGCTGAAGTTCTTGTTGGTTTGAAAGTTCCCACCATGGTGTGACTTCTAGGTATTGCTGTCCTTAGTTTTACAGAGGTCAGGAAGAGATACTGTTAATGACTTGTGGTTACTAAGAACCTCTGTGTTCAAAGGCAGTCTTCCTTTGAACGTCAGATGCTGTTAGCTGATGAACGGTGAACTTTCCAGATGCACCCAGGTGGCTATTGTAGAAGGCAGTTTGTTGAATTCTATGAATCTTAAAATAGACATACGGGAGATGTTCAGTATTCTTACATGCTCACTGAGTCTAGCAGTGATAGTTTCATTTCTGAACCTTAATTTCCTCTCTTTAACTCTTTTCACATGTCTATGTCATCTAAAGAATTTTAATAAAAGTGTACAGAAGTATTTTGTACATTTTACTTATTTAGTAACTTCATTCAGCTGCCCATCTCATATACAGGTAGTCCTCAACTTACAACCATTCGTCTAATGACTATTTGAAGTTACAATGAAAAAAGTGAGTTATGACCGTTTTTCACACTTACGACCATTGTAGCATCCCCATGGTCACATGATCAAAATTTGACAATTTGCCAGATTCACTTAATAATCGTGTTACTAGCTTAACTGCAGTAATTCACTTAACAACTGTGGTAAAAGTCGTAAAATGGGGCAAATTTCACTGTATTGGAAGTAGACATTTTTGGCAAGTTTGGTCAGCTAAAATTTTTGACCCTTGTTCTTCAGCATCAACAACACAAGTTTTTTTTCTCTCTCTCTGAAATAATAACGGCTGAAAAGAAGTATTGGGGTAACTTGAGATGGATCTTTATGTGGAAGGACTGTGAGTTCTGCCCGTTTCTGGTACTGCACACAAATGCTTGGATTCAGAATGATTTAAGACTTAAATGTAAGTCTTTGGCACCAGGCTTCAACTGGTAGATCTTAGCACTCTACTATTCCCCTCCCCTCCCAAAAAACAAAAAACAACAGCTGGAAACCGGCCCATTCTTCTTTTATGAGGACTCAAATGAGATTTGCTTCATTCTTGTAAACAGAATTGTTTGTCTTCTCTACTTACCTTCTCTTGAATGCTTTTCCTATAAGATAATCTCTTTTTTGGTAGAAAGAGAAAGCAGATTTTTCCATTTGAAACTCAGCAATATGGAAGTCTGCAGAGAAGCTTGTTCGTCTTGAAATATTTCTCCTCAGGCAAAACTGACCAGCATCAGCTGGCCTCTTCCTGGACCCTGCAATAAAAGCCAGACTATTTGGAACAAGTTTGTTCAGGCTTCAGTTCTTTTTTACTTTGCCCTCTGAGCTGAGGTTGAAACAGAGTTGAAACTATTTTTTTTTAATGCAGGAACAGATTGGAAACCCTTACGCATATTCTGCATGTGTTTGCGTGTCCCTGGGTTTTTTACTCATAAATCCTTAAAATAACATATGTAAAAAGAACTCTAGATAGGCACTGTGTCTTTGGTTTAGCCTGGATATGGAGAAAACACATTCTTTGGGACAAAATAATAATAATAATAATGACCTGACATACAGCTTTGTTGTATTTTCCACAACTTTTTTTTGTTATTCTGAATCTGACAATGCTTATTCTTCATTTCCCCCTTATTTTTATCACAAACAAGGCCTTATGGATATGAGATTATGCTTGAAAGAAGATAGAAATTCCAAATAAGTACTTAGAATGGGTGTATAGGTCTGCATGAAAAGAAAAAAAAAGATAGGGCAACTTTTAAAAGAGGAGTTTAATTTTTATGCTTGTCTTTGAGCTGCTGAGGAGTATCGTTTGGGGCGACAGCGTTACAACATGTTGAGGCTAAATGTGTTTTGCTCTTGGGAACGCTTTAATATATGTGGATTCATGTGTAAGAATTGCTTGCAAAAGCTGTCTTTTTGCTTTCGCTATTGATTTAATTATCTCTATGTAACAGTGATCAATAGAACACCTACAGCAGGGGTGTCAAAGTATCGGGCCGGTTTTGCCATTGCCGGCAATGGGGTGGGCGTGGCTTCAGTATGATGAAACCGGGGCTTCAGTATGATGAAACTGGCCCGTGGGCCGGCAGTTTGACACCCCTGACCTACAGTTAACAGCTTGAGGTTTTGTTTTTAAATAAAACTATGCTGTTTTGTAGAATGCTTGTGTGGCTGCCTGCCCTTAAATGTAATAGGTTAAATTATAAATGTTACTTTTCAACTCCTGTCCTCATGGGTTTTTGAGCTGAATATATGGTAATTGGATACTAGTTGTCTTATTACCATATAATAGCAACTCTCTTTTTAACAGAGATAGTGCGTATATTTCATGCTTCTGTTGTTGTTTGGATGTGCTTGCAATTATAGTGTTTGCTTCCCTCTGTATGGATGCAAAATCTTTTTGAGGAAAAGGAAGTTGTTCTTAATGTCTTTATTTTCTTGGATACAAGGGGTAGGCTATATAACTAATGGAAAGCCCAGTTCAAGAAAGAACACATTAATTTAGCAGTGCCACCTTTTTCCATCACCAAATCTTTTTTCTCTCTTCACCCCAACCCTCCATTTTTTAAAAATTTCTTTCCCGCTGCGTCCCTTCCTGCATTTCTGTTTGATCAGTCTGGACTGAGTATTGAATCAAAAAAGCCTTAGAGCTAATAGAAGGAAATAGTTCTTTGCAAGCTTTCTCCCTAGAGGCAGAGTCTCCTTTGAAGTACTAGTTGTAAATACATTGAGAATTTGGGGTGGAAGGGATGATCAGGCGATTTCCCCCCCCCCCTTTTTTTTTTGTTCAAACAGCAGCAGATGGAATCCAGATGGAGAAAAGGGAAAAAGTAGCTGGAAGAGCTGGTAAAAAGACCCATTTTTCAGAGGGCCACAGGAATATTGTGGTATTTTCTTCAGAGATAACAGAACAGAATAACAGAATTGGAAGAGACCTTGGAGGTCTTCTAGTCCAACCCCCTGTTCAGTATCTATATTCTTGAAATTTTTAGTTAAGTGAAAAAAAAATGCCTTAAAAAAAATTACAGGTAATCCTCAATTTACGACTACAATTGAACCCAACATTTCTGTTGCTAAACGAGACAGTTGTTAAATGAATTTTGCCCCATTTTACGACCTTTCTTGCCACAGTTGTTAAGGGAATGACTGCAGTTGTTAAGTTAGTAACACGGTTGTTAAGTGAGTCTGGCTTCCCCATTGACTTTGTTTGTCAGAAAGTCTCAAAAGGTGATCACCTGACCACGGGACACCGCAACCGTCACAAATACGAGTCAGTTGCTAAGCGTCTCTTTTGATCACATGACCATGGGGATGCTGCAACATTTGTAACTGAAAAAGGTCCTAGGTCACTTTTTTCAGTGCCCTTGCAACCTTGAATAGTCACTAAACGGAACTGTTGTAAGTCGAGAATTGCTTGTAGTTCACTGATTCCTAAACTGGCCAAGCTTCTGCTAAAAGGATTGTTTTTGATGGTATCTGCCTATAAAAAGAGTTTCCCACTGTGACTGTGGATGAGTCACAGAATAGACTCTGTTGGAAGAAACCTTAGTCTGGAGCACTCCTAGCATTGGAATCTTTGGTCTTCAAGGGCGTTCATTCATCTGGTTTGATGGGAGGTAGTTTTGCCCTGTTGTGCATTAAGCGCAATCACTCAGTTGCTCCTGAATCATTCAGTTGCTCCCAGACAGAGACCCAGATAGTCACTTTGTAAGTTGAAAGCAATTATTTTCTCCAAGGAGATCATATTAAGCATGACTCCATCACTCAAGACGCAACAGAATTCCCTGCTTTTGGGAAGGCATACACCCACATATTCTAAAAAGCAAACAATTTTGCATTGTAAGTATGACAGTAAAGGAAAAATAATGCTATCTGGTTCTATTGACATGGAGGTGGGACCTCATTTCCAGACAATCTGTGGAGAGGAAT